CCACTGTGTGGGCGAAACGTAGTCAATAAAGGATCACATTATACTGCATTTGTGTTTATATTGCCATTGGATTCAAGGATACCGGCAGGCCGGACTTGATTCCTGGAGATGGGAAATACAGTGCTGGCATTCTGGAGGAGGGGTGTTAATGTTGCAGTTTGAGCATGCCTCTGGCAAGATAGTGATGGAGTGAGTGATGATGAAAGTTTTTCTTTTTCGGGCCACCCTCCCTTGGTGGGAAATGGCCGATGTGTTAATAAATATAACTAATGTGTTTTCCATGTAAGCTAGACTGGAGTGTAAGACAAATTCTAATCACACAATTGAGCAAAAAAGTTATGTGAAGAATTGAAGAGGGATAATGCCATAAGATCTCACCCTCAAAGATCACAGAAGTGTTATTATCACAGCTGCGAAGAAAATGGTATTACGGACAATGAGAACTTTCAAAACAGATGCCATGCCAGTGTTGGTCCTCTTTTAATGCACTTATTCTGTCTAGGCTGGAAAACTGCTGTTCATTATCAGCCCCTTTCAAAGCAAGCAAAATTGCAGATCTACAGAATGTACAGATGATCTTTACTGTATGTGTATGTTCAGTACAGCACCTCATTCATTGGAAATGTTTGAAGTCCCTTGACATGTACTACTTAGAGTGCAATCAAGAAAGTTAGATCATAATTTACATCTGGAAAATCCTAGAGAGACTGGTTCCAAATCTACACACAGAAATCACTCCTTAGGAGTGGGTATAATGACATTGCTGACCGTTCTTGCAAAAAACACAATAAGGCAAATATCACGAAAACCAAGAAAATTATGGGATGGATAATTAGACTTTCAAGCATGGGAAATAGTGCAAATGATAACTCTTTTTGACTAAGAGTACTGTTCAGTGTTGATGGCTCCTTTTAGGGCAGGAGAGATATCAGTGTTAGAACAGATATAGAAATCATTTAAATTACTGGGAATGCCTCAAAAGTCCTCAATATATGTACTTGAGAGAGAGAGAGATGCTTGATAATTTATATATGGAGGGTACTTGAGGTACTAATCTCAAGTCTGCACACTGCCATAACATAAGGTACTAGAGTAAGAAAGGTTGTCAGTTGGTAGATAAGCTAAATTCTAGAGGAAGCTGTACTAAGATTATTCTATCTGAGGTCTAGATCCTGGTGCAGAAAGGAATTTTTCATTCTTCAAAACTGTTTATTGTAAAATTATTAAATAACATTTGTACTTATAGTCGTTATGGAGATAATTTTAACCCTAATGTATTATTTTTTTTTTTTTTTTTTTTTCAACAAGTCGGTCGTCTCCCACCGAGGCAGGGTGACCCAAAAAAAGAAAGAAAATCCCCAAAAAGAAAATACTTTCATCATCATTCAACACTTTCACCACACTCACACATTATCACTGTTTTTGCAGAGGTGCTCAGAATATAACAGTTTAGAAGCATATACGTATAGAGATACACAACATATCCCTCCAAACTGCCAATATCCCAAACCCCTCCTTTAACCCTTTGAGGGTTATGGTCGTACTAGTACGTTTTACGCGTAGGGGTTTTTGACGTACTAGTACTCATAAATTCTAGCGGCCTCAAATCTAGTGGGAGAAAGCTGGTAGGCCTTCATATGAAAGAATGGGTCTATGTGGTCAGTGTGCACAGTCTAAAAAAAATCCTGCAGCACACAGTGCATAATGAGAAAAAAAAACTTTGACCATTTTTTTTTAATAAATCGGCGACTTTGCAGTGTATTTTCGTATGGTATTTATTGTTGTATTCTAGTTTACTTGGTCTCATTTTATAGAATGGAAGACATATTACAGAAATTGAGATGATTTTGACTGGTTTTACAATGAAAGGTGCCTTGAAATTGAGCTCAAAGTAGCAGAAATGTTCGATTTTTACCAAACTTCAAAAGTAAACAAATCGTGCCAAGCGTGCAATACACGTCAACTGGTGAGTCTAATATTCTTTTACAAGTGCACCAATAATATTTATACCATTTTTTACACTATGCAGTAGTCTGCATAACAGTAAATCTTATATTTTTTGTGAGAATAAAAATTCAAAGTGGAAAGCAAAAGAATATAAGAGGGGCCTTGAGACGTGACTAATGACTAGAGGAAATGTCATTTTAGTGCCAGGAATGTCTTTCTTGTTTATTCTGGACCCTATTCGGAAATTGGCATCTTTTGAAATTTGTGTGAAATTGGCAAAATTGCTAAATTCTGACCACTGTACTGGATAGTTGAATTTATAAATGGGTGGTTTCTTGCACCCATTCGATAGAAAAAATGGAGTTCTAGCGAAATATTCATGTTTTTTGTCGACTAGTACAGTGAAATTGGCCGAAAATGGGGCTCAAAGGGGCAAAATCGCCGATGCGTAAACATCGCCGAGACCGCTAACTTTGCGAGAGCATAATTCCGTAAGTTTTCTATCAAATTTCAAACTTTTGGTGTCTTTATGATCGGGAAAAGATTCTCTATCTTTTCATAAGAGAAAATAATTTTTTTTTTTTTAAATTTGGCCGACCCTGAGAACGAGTTTCGGAGAGGGCCTGTCGACCCTCAAAGGGTTAAAGTGCAGGCATTGTACTTCCCATTTCCAGGACTCAAGTCCGACTATATGAAAATAACCGGTTTCCCTGAATCCCTTCACTAAATATTACCCTGCTCACACTCCAACAGATCGTCAGGTCCCAAGTATCATTCGTCTCCATTCACTCCTATCTAACACGCTCATGCACGCTTGCTGGAAGTCCAAGCCCCTCACCCACAAAACCTCCTTTACCCCCTCTTTCCAACCCTTTCGAGGACAACCCCTACCCCTCTTTCCTTCCCCTATAGATTTATATGCTTTCCATGTCATTCTACTTTGATCCATTCTCTCTAAATGACCAAACCACCTCAACAACCCCTCTTCTGCCCTCTGACTAATGCTTTTATTAACTCCACACCTTCTCCTAATTTCCACACTCCGAATTTTCTGCATAATATTTACACCACACATTGCCCTTAGACAGGACATCTCCACTGCCTCCAACCGTCTCCTCGCTGCTGCATTTACCACCCAAGCTTCACATCCATATAAGAGTGTTGGTACTACTATACTTTCATACATTCCCTTCTTTGCCTCCATAGATAACGTTTTTTGACTCCACATATACCTCAACGCACCACTCACCTTTTTTCCCTCATCAATTCTATGATTAACCTCATCCTTCATAAATCCATCCGCCGACACGTCAACTCCCAAGTATCTGAAAACATTCACTTCTTCCATACTCCTCCTCCCCAATTTGATATCCAATTTTTCTTTATCTAAATCATTTGATACCCTCATCACCTTACTCTTTTCTATGTTCACTTTCAACTTTCTACCTTTACACACATTCTCAAACTCATTCACTAACCTTTGCAATTTTTCTTTAGAATCTCCCATAAGCACAGTATCATCAGCAAAAAGTAACTGTGTCAATTCCCATTTTGAATTTGATTCCCCATAATTTAATCCCACCCCTCTCCCGAACACCCTAGCATTTACTTCTTTTACAACCCCATCTATAAATATATTAAACAACCATGGTGACATTACACATCCCTGTCTAAGACCTACTTTTACCGGGAAGTATTCTCCCTCTCTTCTACACACCCTAACCTGAGCCTCACTATCCTCATAAAAGCTCTTTACAGCATTTAGTAACTTACCACCTATTCCATATACTTGCAACATCTGCCACATTGCTCCTCTATCCACTCTATCATATGCCTTTTCTAAATCCATAAATGCAATAAAAACTTCCCTACCTTTATCTAAATACTGTTCACATATATGCTTCAATGTAAACACTTGATCTACACATCCCCTACCAACTCTGAAACCTCCTTTGCTCGTCCGCAATTCTACATTCTGTCTTACCTCTAATTCTTTCAATTATAACCCTACCGTATACTTTTCCTGGTATACTCAGTAAACTTATTCCTCTATAATTTTTACAATCTCTTTTGTCCCCTTTCCCTTTTATAAAAGGGACTATACATGCTCTCCGCCAATCCTAGGTACCTTCCCCTCTTTCATACATTTATTAAACAAAAGTACCAACCACTCCAACACTATATCCCCCCCTGCTTTTAACATTTCTGTCATGATCCCATCAGTTCCAGCTGCTTTACCCCCTTTCATTCTACGTAATGCCTCACGTACCTCCACCACACTTACATTCTGCTCTTCTTCACTCCTAAAAGATGGTATACCTCCCTGGCCAGTGCATGAAATTACCGCCTCCCTTTCTTCCTTAACATTTAAAAGTTCCTCAAATATTCTCGCCATCTACCTAATACCTCCCTCTCCCCATCTACTAACTCCCCTGCTCTGTTTTTAACTGACAAATCCATACTTTCCCTAGGCTTTCTTAACTTGTTTAACTCACTCCAAAATTTTTTCTTATTTTCATTAAAATTTCTTGACAGTGCCTCTCCCACTCTTTCATCTGCTCTCCTTTTGCACTCTCTCACCACTCTCTTCACCTTTCTTTTACTCTCCATATACTCTGCTCTTCTTATAACACTTCTGCTTTGTAAAAACCTCTTGTAAGCTACCTTTTTCTCTTTTATCACACCCTTTACTTCATCATTCCACCAATCACTCCTCTTTCCTCCTGCCCCCACCCTCCTATAACCACAAACTTCTGCCCCACAATGTATTAATGTTTTAGTAATCTGTTATTATAAAGCTTATTGTTTTTTTTTTTTTACACATACCTGGAGAGGGTTTTGGGGGTCAATGCCCCCGTGGCCCAGTCTGTGACCAGGCCACATGGTGAATCAGGGCCTGATCAGCCAGGCTGTTACTGTTGTTTATATCGATGAAGAATTTTATTTGTTCATTTATAATACACAGTGAGTCATGTGTGCCTGCTCGACTTTAGTGTATATTAATAGTAGTGGCATGAATTTTACAAGTTTTTCACGATGAATATTTAACACAGAAGAAAGTCTTTCGGACGATGAAGGAGGAAGTACAGCAGGAACACCTGTGGGCACCCTGGAGCGTGGTCTTCAGGGTACATGGTCTGGATCAACAAATCGTAAACATCGAACTGCAGCCTTGAAAGCAGCAAGGCAGGCAGAACTCAAAAGGTATGGTAGCAGCTACCTTATATTTTACCAAGCTGTAAATTATGAAGAGAGAATGTATATGGCATTAAATTTTCTTCGGTTGTTATGCTTATTTGGATTGTTATGCTTATTTACATGCTATATGGTCATCTCTACAAATGTGTGGGCATCTTTATTCTCAGGTTTCAGTTATTCAATGTTTTTACTAATGGGCAATTGAAATGTAGATTCAGTTATCCATCTGAAACACAGACTGATCGCAAATATGCAATAAAATTTGTTATGTTGGCTTAAGTTTGTAATATTTGCTGTTATTGGTTTCATGGAATATCTAGAGCATAATCCCCTGGTAATTTGTAGCTAAAAACTGTGTCCAATTATTGGAATTGGTTGAAACCAATAATGTTTCAGTTAAGCAGAATTTTGACGCTAACCAGGAATTATCTCCTGCTCGACAGTATATGTATATAGAATTATTATTTGACGGCCCCGTTCAAAGCAGGAGAAATATCAGAGCTGGAACAAATACAGAGACCGTTTACAGCTCACATTGAGCCTGTAAAGCACCTAAACTACTGGGAACGCCTGCAAGTCTTGAACATGTATTCACTGGAGCGGAGGAGAGAGAGATGCATGATAATACATACCTGGAAAATACTCGAGGGCCTGGTTCCAAATCTGCACACTTCTGTAATATACTGGAGTGAGAGATATGGGAGGAAGTGTAAGTGAGGAGCAGGGGTGCAGTGGGGACAATAAGGGAACACTATCAACATTCGGGGTCCCAGACTATTCAACATCTTACCAGAAGATATCAGAAACATGGCTGGAACAAGTGTAGAAGCCTTCAAGAGGAAACTGGACAAGTATCTTCACCAGGTGCCAGATCAGCCAGGCTGTGATGGATATATGGGGCAGCGGTCTTCCTGGTTGACCAGGCAAGCACCAGAAGAGCCTGGCCCATGGTCGGGCTCAAAGAGTAGATTAACTCTCGAAACTTTTCAAAGGTATATTAAAGGTATAAGGTATTATTTTAAGTGAAATGTAATTTAAAAATCTAGGGAAGAATTTTTATTATGTCCCCTTCAGTGTGTTTCAAAGATAATTGTTTTTTTAAGTAAGACATGTGGAACACTTAGGTGAAATGTTTCACCCGCATAGCAGGCTTCATCAATCATATACAGAAGTGATGACAGTAGTAAAAACAGTAGAGGAAAAACTGAATATCTTCATGGGTGAAGAATTGAACACCTCAAACTACCTCCCCTCTTCTTCTATTGGTATTGTAATGACTTCTGTATGCGATGAAATCTGCCGTGCAGGTGCAATGTTTCGGCAGTAGAGATACCTAAGTGTTGCCCATATGTCTTACTCATCAATATTGTATACCATTGCTAATGATAAAAAAAAAATATTCTGTCAGTCATTGAAAAATGTTCTCTTGTAGGCTTCGGATGGCACAAGAAATTCAGCGGCAGCTTGAGGAGTGTGAGGTAAAAACCCGAGAGCTGGAAGAAAGAGGTGTTGCAGTAGAGAAGGCACTTAGAGGAGAAAGTGTAAGTACTCTGTATATACTGTATAATAAGGTGGCCAAAACTTGATTGCAATCTATCAGGAGATTGCAGAGTAATTTCTAGTAGACTGCAGGATGATCAGTAGCCTAGCTCAGCACTCCACTAATTGATCTATGTATTTGACAACATTTTAATATATTCATTGCTTACTATTCTCATGACCACATTAAAATATATAGATATTTTAATGGGATGTTGGGTTGTAATGAAGCAGTCAGCATGTACCTCCCACTTTTAACAGTTTGAGATAACTAAAATCTAAGTTACCCTGTTACAAGATGTTGAGGTTGTGCTGTAGTTTTTTTGTAACGACATTCATTTTTTATATACATGTTAGTTCATATTGCTTCCTTAAATGTCTGGTGGTAATCAGCAGTGTATAGTGTATATAAAAAAAGAAACTTTGGAACATAACTTAGACTACATAATGAATATGGTAAACGATAGACTTTGAGCTCTGGAGGTGAAGAGTAAAGTACCTGTGCACTCTGAAGGGTGGGTGAGGATGTTGTGGTTCTAAAGGTGGGGAGTACAGTGCCTTCACTCTGAAGTAAGGTTGAGGATGTTAGGTAAAAGGACACGTGCAACTAATGTGACATTTTACTGTGGCAATGTTTTGCTCTCCAGGGGTTAATTGTATTGTCCATACACTTTTGGCAAGATAGCTATTGAATGAATGATGGTGACTGTGGTAAGTTCTATGGGTTGCCAAACCTTGATGGGAAACTGCCACTGTATACAAAAAAAAATACCCTGGAAGAATTTTTAACAACTGTACTGATGCTGGAGAGCCAGTGAAATGCTCTCCAGTTACCTATCTGACAGCTTCTTCATTATACAAATGTAAGTATTATTAATAACTTTCCAACCATCAGAGTGGAGCAAATCGTGATGAGGCAGATTTAATGGGAGACTGGTTCTCAATGGTTCATGAGAAGAATGCTTTGGTGAGGTGGGAGCAGGAACTTTTGGTACGGGCCAAGGAGCTTGAGTTGGAGGACCGTCACGTGAGGCTGGAACATGAGCTTAGGCATCGCATGGCTCTCTCTGGTAAGTTGTTCAAGAAAGCGTTGTCACCAATAAATATGAGTTTATTATTATTATTTCAACAAACCTGCCGTACCCCGCTGAAGCAGGGTGGCCCAAACCAAAAACTAAAGTTTCACTTTCCATCTTTAGTAATGTATACAGGTGAAGGGGTTACTAGCCTTTTGCTCCATTATTATTATTATTATACTAAAATATAAGCCGTTGTTAAAGGTAGTGAGTGTGAAGTGGAAACCTGTAATTGTCTTGCATGATGGCAGGGTTGCTGGTGTCTTTTTTTTCTGTCTCATAAACACACAGGATAACAGGTATATCTTGCTACTCTTACTTAGGTCACACTACGCATGCCTGCACATGCATGTGTGTGTGTGTGTGTGTGTGTGGTGTGTGTGTGTGTGTGTGTGTGTGTATGTGTGTGTGTATGTATGTATGTATGTATGTATGTATGTATGTATGTGTATATATATATATACTTTCTTCTTTCAACGTACCAGCTGTATCTCACCAAGGTGGGGTGGCCCAAAAGGAAAAACAAAAGTTTCTCCTTTCAAATTTAGTAATATATACAGGAGAAGGGGTTACTAGCCCCTTGCTCCCGGCATTTTAGTCGCCTCTTACAACACTCATGGCTTACGGAGGAAGAATTCTGCTCGGTGGGAGACGGCCGACTTGTTGAAAAAAAAAATATATATATATATATTTATTTATTTTATTACACATGCACGCACACCCTCCTGCCTGCCTGGGTGTTCTTCTATTTTCTTAATACTAGCTCTTGTTCTACTTCATTTCCTCTTATCTCCTTGGGGAAGTGGAAAAGAATTCTTCCTACATAAGAGGTGACTAAAATGCTGGGAGCAAGGGGCTAGTAACCCCTTCTGTGTGAATTACTAAATTTAAAAAAAAAAACTTGTTTTTCTTTTTAGGTCAGTTTGTTGGGAAAAAATGCTGTTGTTTTAAGTAAAAAAAAAAAAAACTGAAATTTCACCCATAGATAAAAGTGAGTTGAAAATTCTTTTTATGAGCTTCCTTGTATTTAATCAAGAATGCACTTTGTGTTTTTACTTATTTTTGTCTTGTGCTTAATGTCATTACAATATAAAGTATATTGCCTGCACTCTAAAGGAGGGTTGGGAATATTTGCTGTTTGGAGGGTCATCTGAACTATTGTATCTGTGTGCCTTTGGCAAGACAGTGATAGTGTGAATGGCAGTGAAAGTATTTCTTTTTGGGGTCACCCTGCCTCAGTGAGAGACAGCCAGTGTGTTCCTTTATAGTGAAACCTCAAAAATCGAATGTATAACATATCGAACGTTTCAAAAATAGGACCATTTTTTCGGACAAACTGTGTCCCTATTATCGAACGCGCCCCTATTTTCAGACCGCCGGGTATGGGACCTGTCTGCCGCCTGCTCTGTCCGCGTCCCTGCGCAGGCGCCGTGAGCAGTCTAGCTTTGTTTATGCTTGAGTGAACACTAACCTGCGCTCTCATTCACGCATTTTACGATTATTTCGTTGTTTAGTGCTTGTGGGACTGTGAAATAAGCTGCCATGGGCCCAAAGAAACTTGCTAGTGGTACCCCTGTGGTAAAGAAAGTGAGAAACACCATAAATGTGAAGAAAGAAATAATACAGAAGTATGAGAGTGGTGTGAGACTTGTTGAGCTTGCCAGGATGTATGGGAAAAACAAGTCGACCATCGGTTCTATCCTGTCAAAGAAAGAACAAATCAAGGAAGCTGATGTTGCGAAAGGTGTTAATATAGGGAGTGGATGAGGTGCCTTCTTCAAAGATTAAGGAGATTTGTGCCAAGTGGAATGATGTGCAAATGTTTGTGCAGAAGTACCACCCTGAGCAAGCTCAAACAAGTCATCATGGTTCAGTGACAGAACCATGTCCCATTTTAGGGAAATGTTAAAGAGGTTCCAGAAACAGAGGACTGTGGACAGTTATTTTGTGAGACAGGGGTCCAGTGACTCTCAAGCTGGTCCTAGTGGCATTAAAAGACAGAGAAGGGAAGTAACCCCAGAGAGGGCTTTGCATGAAGTCCTCATGGAGGGGGATTCTCCTTCCAAACACTAACCCCAACTCCCTCTCTCCTCCTCCCTATCTTCCAGATGCCATCACTAATCTTCAATAAAGGTAAGTAAAAATGTTATTTTATATGTATTACTATACATAATTAAAAACTATAGCATTTGTTGTATGTAAAACTAATTAATCTCTATAAAATGTATTTTTTGTGTGAGTATTTTTGGGTTTCTGGAACGGATTAATTGTATTTCCATTATTTCTTATGGGAAATATTGCTTCGAATTTCAGACTTTACGAATTTAGAACTAGCTCCTGGAATGGATTAAGTTTGAGTTTTGAGGTTCCACTGTATAAAGGGAAGGGAGACAAAAGAGTGTAAAAATTATGGGGGAATGAGTTTACTGAGTATGATAGTAGGATTGCTGGTGTCTTTTTTCTGTCTCATAAACATGCAGGATTTCAGGTATGTCTTGTTACTTCTACTTACACTTAGGTCACACTACACATTCATGTACAAGCATATACATGTATATACACACCCCTCTGGGTTTTCTTCTATTTTCTTACTAGCTCTTGTTTTTGTTTATTTTCTCTTATTTCCATGGGAAAGTGGAACAGAATTCCTCCTCCATAAGCCATGTGTATTGTAAGAGGCGACTAAAATGCTAGGAGCAAGGGGCTAGTAACTCCTTTCCCTGTATACATTACTAAAGATAAAAAGGGACTTGTTTTTCTTTTTGGGCCACCCTGCCTCTGTTGGATACAGCTGGTTTGTTGAAAGACGGAAAGACGTAGTAGTTTACTGAGTATACCAGGTAAAGTGTTTGGTAGGGTTATTATTGAAAGAATTAAGGGTAAGGCAAAGAACAGGATCGCAGATGAACAAGGAGGCTTTAGAAGGTAGAGGATGTGTAGACCATGTGATTGCATTGAAGCATATAGGTGAACAATGCTTAAAGGTAGGGAAGCTTTTATGGATTTAAAAAAGGCACTTGATAGGGTGGATAGGGGAGCAATGTGGCAGATATTGCAAGTGTATGGAATAGGTGGTAAGTTACTAAATGCTGTAGAGAGTTTTTATGAGGATAGACAGACTCAAGTTAGGATATGTACGAGAGTAACAGTATGTAACAGTAGGCCTTAGACAGGGATACATGATGTCACCATGGTGGTTTTAACATATTTATAGATTAGGCTGTAAAAATAAGTGAATGCTAGGGTGTTGGGGAGAAGTGTGGGCTTAAAATATGCAGAATCTAATACAAAATGGGAGTTGCCACTGTTGCAAAAAGAAACTGTGACAACTGTACTTCCCACATCTCTGAAAGACACCTTCACAGATTTACTTGGTGCTGTAAGCACCTGTTCATTGGCATGATAATACTTCACAGTTTTCTATGATAGTATGTTGATGGTATCTATATATATATAAAGTTCCCTTTTGGGAAAATAACTCAAGAATCCTGAGCTTGTATTTATTTGCTCCAATTTAAATGTGTTTATTCCTAATCTAGTCATGTTTTGTAAAATATGTCATTTCTTTTTTATTGTTGTAAAAATATTTGTAATCATTTTATTGTAATATAAAATCCTGTTTCAGAAGAAGAGAAATCTCGAGAAGATATTGACCGTGAGGGCACCATCCTAGCAGAAATGCTGAGTATCCTTGAACAGAAAGATGCATTGGTCACCATGTTGGAGGAGGACAGACAGAGGTGCGGCCACAACCACAATACCATGCACTTCCTCACAGCCAGTGACTCACTCAGCCCTGAGCGGCTTCCCAACAATCTGGTTACCACCACCAAGCCTTGCACCACCCCAGACTGTACCTCCACTACCAAATTGCTACCCTGCCTTACAACCAAACTCTCGAGTCTTTCATATTTGTGTTCAACATCTTTCTCATCATCAGCTTCCTTATTCAGTACTCTCAACCATGGACAAATGACCTTAGATACATCTTTGTTAATACCCATGGATAATCAGCAGTCTAAAGTGGCTTCAATATTGCATGCTTGCTTGAGTTCATCTTTGAATCCTGCTTTACATCCCCTGGCTCTTGCTGAGCGCTTCAGTCAGTTTGATCAACTTCCGGCCTCATGTAGACCAAGTGTTTTTGATCATGACCCTTGTAGCAAAACATTTACTTATTATCAGCATGCACAGCAGAAAGTTAATAATTTTAGTACACCAGGTCATGTAAAACGCACAACCATTCCAGACCTAAGCCTGTGCAATCAGAAGCCAATTTTTACAAACCCATTTTCTCCCTTCCATCGCTCCAGTCCTTCGGTTTCACTCCCAGTCCGCATGAATACTTTAAACTCAGCATCCAGTAAAAGTGTAGTGAAAGGTGCCAGTAAATGTAACTCCAGCTGGCTGAATACTGCTTGTAGTTATGCTATGATGATTGTAATTATTGTATGGTTTTTGCCGCACATTGTAACCCTGTTGTCACTAATTTTTCGTCAGACTTATCGGGGACCATCCCCATTTTAATATTTAGCTTGGAAGTAATGTATATACAGTAGATGATGTGGCTCATTTGCTGATGATTTTAGAAATAGCTCTTTGATACCATTGTACAATATTTTTACTGTATATTCAGTTCTGTATTAAATATTGTGCATGCCACATACGTACTTATTTTTATCATGATTGTCTTATAGCAAGCCCATGTACCTTGCATCTAAGTAGTATACATACTGTATAACCACTTACAATATAAGCAGTTAATATGGTGTAATTTTCAGTAGTGCATTAGAATATAATATGATGCAGATGTGCATGATGATACAGTAGTTGGGAAACATAAAACTCTTCTCAAAGACAATGAGACGTTCCTCAAAACCTCTTCCTTGTGTTCTTCCTTATGGATGGCTGGCTGGCAGATTGTTGTTGGTGCCGGCCTCACCTTGCCTTGTAAGTTCCCATCATGTTACACTACAGCAGCCAACACTAACACTTAAGTTGCCAAGCAGCGCATCCCTAACAACTGCTACTAACTAAATTGATTGCCTTCATATTTTTGGCCTGCTAACACTTCTGGAATCTTAATTTTGGGTTAGTTTGGGAAAGAGCTGTTGGCATACAAAAATAGGACTTGTAAATCCATTGACTTGAGTACTTTACTGAACATTATATTGTACAAAACTATGTGTGTGAGTGCACGTGGATATGCATATATATTTTTTTATCTCACCGAGGTAGGGTGACCAGAAGAAAGAAAACACTTTCACCATCATTCAACACTTTCAGAGGTGCCCAGATATGACAGTTTAGATGTCACTCCAAACAGCCAATATCCCAAACCCCTCCTTTAATTAAAGTGAAGGCATTAAAACCATACCCCGGCTGGGATTGAACCCGTGGTCAGAGTCTCAAAACTCCAGACCGTCGCGTTAGCCACTAGACCAGCTAGCCACCATAAGATTCGTCCAACTAGGTATATTTCTACACCATAGGAAGGCTAGCATAGGCACCACTGTGACCACAAATGCAAGTTTTTACAGATGAATCTCCAGCTAGCGTGGCCGTAACGAACTCTAGCTCAAGTTCCCTCACTGCCGTCAACATGACTCATGAAATCGTAATGACACGATTGCAAACAAACCATACCCCGGCTGGGATTGAACCCGCGGTCAGAGAGTCTCAAAACTCCAGACCGTCGCGTTAGCCACTAGACCAGCTAGCCACAGTAAGATTCGTCCAACTAGGTATATTTCTACACCATAGGAAGGTTAGCATAGGCACCACTGTGACCACAAATGCAAGTTTTTACAGACGAATCTCCAGCTAGCGTGGCGTGGTTTGTTTGCAATCGTGTCATTACGATTTCATGAGTCGTGAAGGCATTATATTTCCCACCTCCAGGACTATAGTCTGGTTAATCAGTTTCCCTGAATCCCTTCACAAAACATTACCCTGCTCACACTCTAACAGCTCATCAGGTCCCAAAAACCATGTCTCCATTCATTCCTATCTAACACTCACGCTTGTGGGAAGTCCAAGCCCCTCGCCCACGAATCCTGCTTTACCCCCTCCCACCAATCTTTTCAAGGACGACCCCTACCCCTCCTTTCTTCCCTACAGATTTATATGCTCTCCAAGTCATTCTGCTTTGTTCCATCCTCTCTCAATGACCAAACCACCTCAACAATGCCTCCTCAGCCCTCTGGATAAAACTTATAGTATCTCTGCACCTCCTCCTAATCTCTAAACTACAGATTTTCTGCGTATTTATGCCACACATTGCCCTCAGACATGACATCTCCACTGCCTTCAACCTCTTCCTTGCTGCAACATTCACAACCCAAATTGAGCAAAGAAAAGCGAACTGTGAACAGGCTTATTTAAAACCTTCACCGTGATACAAGTATTTTGGTCATAAGTTAGGGTGTATGTACATACATACATACATACACGTGTACCCTGGTGGTCTCCTGTTTGTTCTCTTGCAGTGCAATTAAAACATGCTGCATGGGTCCAATACCATTACAATAGAACCAATCATCAATTTATGGCCATATCCTGCCAAGGCAAGGTCACCCAAAGAATAAAACACACTTACCATCATTCACTTAAACCTTTCACTGTCGGTGCCCTATAGATACGTCTTACGAGCCAGTGTTGGTGACGTATTAATACGCCAAAATTCTAGCGGCTTCAAATCTTGGGAAAGAAAGCTGGTACACCTACATGTGAGAGAATGGGTCTGAGTGGTCAACGTGTGCTGTATAAAAAAATCGGGGAGTCAGTGGTGCATTGTGGGAGTCCCATTTCAGTAGGCCTTGTTTCCCATGCTTTGCAGTAACATATACCTCACTCCCCAGCAAACTGGGACTCTTCTCTTCTCAAGTCATAGTTCTAACACAGATGGAAGTGTCAGTGAAGATGAATTTCATGGTTGAGGAGTTTCTGACCGAAAGCAATGCTCAGGAGACCAGAAATAGTGCTGAAAACCCAGACGGCCATCAACCTAGGATAACCCAAAAAGTCAGTGACTTATTTCCATATGGGTGGTGGGGAAGAGAGCATGCTTGTTGGGGGAAGACGGTATGGGTAATGGGTGGTGGTTGTGTAATGCATCATTTGACACCAGTCTTGCTGCTCTTGGCACGTCCACAATAAAGGCTACCTTCAACCACCCACACACGACCTTCCACAAGCTGTAGCGGTTCTAGGAACGTATCCAGTGACTACATGTGTATATATATATATATTATAAAACAATAGTAGTAAACAACTTTTTTATTGTTGGTTTATGTAAGCAGGTTTTGTAAACAATATAATAATAATGTTTGTGGAGTTATTGTGTTGCATATGAGTAGATATATATGCATTACACATTATATTGGTCTCAGGCCACAAAAGTTACTTGAAAAAATATATTAAAAAATAAAAGGAAAAAGTAGAATAAAAGTAAAAATAGTATTACCAAGTGAGCAGCAGTTGCCGATGTTGCCATAAGTGGTTCACTTTGTCAACTTCACGCCTCTTTATCTCAGTAAGTACTGATCACAATTTTTTTTTCCATTTAAAACGCTCGCAAAAATATTCGTTAGATTTTGGTAAGAATTTTTTTTTTTTCTTGAATATTTTTCGACACTGAGAGCGAGTTTAGAATCAGGGGTCTCAAGAGTGAAATGGTTAATTGCCATCTTTCCAGAAGTGTGCTGACATCACCATCAGATTACCCTCCACCCACAATATTTTCACCCCTTCAGAGTGCAAGCACTCTGGTTAACCGGTTTCCTTGAATCCCTTCATAAAAGTTACCTTGCTTACACTCCAGTAGCATGTCCATTGAAATCCATTTTTCTCCATTCTCCTTTTTAAAATGCTCACAAAAACCTGCTGGATGCTCAAGCTTCTAAAACTAAAAACTTGTTTTACTCCCTCCATTCAGTAGTTCTGGGAGGACCCCTTCCACCACAGAATAGTTCACCCTCATCAACCTATCCCTCTCCATAGCTTAATGGAATTGACAGTTGCTGCTTGTGTCCTTGCCTACTACAGTTCTCCTTAACTCTCACATAGCACATTCGTTTACAAAAATAGGAACCCCTTTTCAAACATTCTTACTCCTCTGCACAAGCATTAACTGATATATTTTCTTAATTACATCACCAACATGTTAAATTCTTCAGCAAATTAAATGTTTCAACAGGTTCTTTCAAAGTTGTTTAAAATGGAAGGAAGTTGAAATGTCATGCAACTTGTCCATAAAATACAATTTGCTTTCTAACTAGTTTATACAGGCATACCTTGCTAATATGGCTGGTTAGGTTCCAGACCATGGCCATAAAACAAATATCTCCTTAAAATACAATTTGCTTTCTAACTAGTTTATACAGGCATACCTTGCTAATATGGCTGGTTAGGTTCCAGACCATGGCCATAAAACAAATATCTCCTTAAAGCTAATCTTTTTTTTTTTTATCCACTTGCCAGTGCATATAAAAGCCTAAATATATGTTCACTATCAGAACACAACACTAAGACACAAAGTGCATAAATGCTTTAAACAGATTAAGTGCAGGTAACAAAATGGATTCAGTCAGCTGATGTGCATATCACCACCAAAAACAATAAAGACAAATATAATTGAAAAGCACCATATTAGCAAAGTATGCCTCTTTATGTTTAATGGAGTTCCCTTCAAGGAGTAGACAAGGAAGTGATGGGGAGGGGATCCGTGATGCTGGTGAAAGGCTCTTAATCCAAGGAATTGATGCCATCTTCCCTTCTGATCAACTCTGTTTACCTCTCATTCCTCTGGAGCTGAATAACCCTTCTGGGTTTAGTATTTCCCTGTTTATGTAACAGTTACATGGGCCAGTTTTTGAACAATTAAAACTGACGACAGAATTAAGTATTAGTTATTTTAGTTTAGATTAGGTTGCTGCTCTTTAACCTAAAATATGTTAAATATAAGTATTAACCAGATTACATAAATGATGTAAGCCATTAACCAGATTACATAAATGATGGGTACAGTGTAGAAGCGGGAACACACCAGTCGCTAAATTTGTTGGACCCAATACTCGTTATGTGCAGTATGAGTACGGTTTGCTTCACAGGTCATTTTTCAAGACAAGGATATTCCTCAAATAATCAAGGCATCAAATATTGAGAGCAACAACTTGCTGAGCCCTTGTGGTTTAGCACTTCGTTTTTATTACGTATAATAATAACAACACCTTGCTGAAAGTCGAGATGTGTAGCACTACATCATAACATTCAATGAGGACCAAGAGGCTATGTAGAAATTTTTCACTGTTAATCAGATTGCAACATATTTATATGAACTGAAAAAAAATGGAATGAGTATTGTGTGTTTTCATTTATGTAAAGCATCTCATGTAATTTATAACAGATGTTGATAGCTCTAATGTACAAGATGGAACAAGGAGTTAAAATAAACAAATATGAATGCAAATCAAGGTAAGGTTTAACTTAAATTCAAACCAAGTGGATGTTGTAATGTCAACAAAAGATGAAAGCTGACATTAGTTTCAAATCAAAAACAAATTAAAGGTATATATGAACCATCAGATGTAGTAAGGCACACTGAAGTGGGTCATAAATAAAAATATATATGTTTTGGAGAGAGGTAATATATAAATAATTAAAATTAAATTGGAAGTAACAAATGGAAGGGGAAGATTAAAGATGGCAGTATTTTGATTGCCAGGAAATGCATTCTTTGTTAGATGATAACCTGTTAACTGGTTAAGAGAGAGGCATATAAATAGAAGAATGTAGACTCTTAATAAACTCATAGAGCACCTTACAGGTATATAAAGTATGAAAATTGGAGAGAGTCATTTTAAAATGTTATGGTTACTTTTTCATTGTCTTGTATAGTACAGTATGAGAGGCAAATTGAATTTTTTGTAACATTTCAAGTACTCTTTCAGGCTAACACTTTTAACATGAAGGCATTTAAAATGTTTTTGGAAAATTTATCCCAAGACTACGTCACTAACAAAAGTTTGGTGTGGCTTTTTTTGTTGTTGTTGTTGTTGTTAACATGTTGATAATCCATCAAGAATTTCTTCAGGAAATAGGGCATCCAAGATTTACCACTGCAGAGCTCATACATTATGAATGTATAATCTCTGCATACATAGTCATTCCAACTTCTTATGCTGTAGTAGAAGCATGCAGTAAGTCTCACTATTATAATGATGGTGGCTGTAACAGCTTCACTTAATGTTAGTAAAATGCTTTAGTGCGTGCATGCACACTAGTATAAATATATATTATGTTTTGCATGTCAATGTTTACCTTTATTTAATGTATAAAAAATTAGCATTCTTGTTATTTTTCTTAATAGAATTCTCATTGTTTTGATTCAACATTATTAAATTTAGAGTAACATTTAAGGGATTTTCTTATTTACATGTCTAAATCTTTAGAACATTTAAACATTTGGATTAATTTGCCTGAAATGCATTGCATAATTAGGCTTTGTTTTGTGCCTACCAATATTTTATTACATGTAAACTACATTATTTGTGGTGCACAGAAGAAATAAGAATTTTATTGTAACGTGTTAATGAATTGAGCATTGATTTGATTCTTGATCATTTTTTTTTTTTATTGATCAATATTTAATTTTTAATAATTTTTGCACATGAGTTAGAGTTGGCTTCAGTCTAGCATAGAAAAAATTGCCATACAAGTGTTACTCCATAATTTAAGTGGAAATATTTAAATGTCCTAAAAATGCTTTAAAAACTGAAAAACAAAAATTTAATATTGCAGATTATCAAGGTTTGTCATTTCACGTAAGGTCTTAAGATTTTGCTTGATTTTCCCTTAAAATGTGTTATATAGAGAACAAGTTTGATTAGAAATTTATAATTTGTCTCTACTCCGTATAGCATCTTGGTTACAAAACTAATGTGTCATTTAAATATGCTTGAGAAGGAATAATGCACGACTTAATTTAAACTAGAAGAACTATTACAAATACTTGAAAATATATAAGATTGGAAATTTAATATTTAAATTTGAGATATTTCCTTTGAATTATTTGTTATACATTTTAGATATTAAAAGTGGTTTAATATTTAAATTTGAGACATTTCCTTTGAATTATTTGTTATATGTTTAGATTTTAAAGGTGGACTTTGTTTTATGGACCTTCTGTTTGCATGGAATTTAGGTCGACTTGTACACATGGGTTATCAAAGGTGTTTATTTCTTGTCGCTCTAGTGTGTTCTATTACATCTCGCCAAAGAACTTTAGGTCTTGATTAATATATTCAGTGTAGTGTAGATGTTGAGTGAAGAAGTGTGTATGCATGGTAAGTTTATGGCCTGCATAGGGAAGGTGCGTATTGTCTGCATCTTGAGTACGTCGATTTGTATGGTAGCCTTTTGTTATTAGTTTTAGATAGTATACTCTTGTAGAGATCCCCTGCATATATTAGTGAGATATAGGTAGAGTATTATGAGTTGGGGCATATACGTAGTAGTAAATCTAGGAGAATGCTCAGTTTCCTTAAGCTTTGTAGCCTAACTGTTGGATGTGGGTTTTGTTTTTATGAGGATGTGTTAAACCCATAATGGTTATACAGCACCTAAGGAATATGAGGTAATCAAGTTTGATCTGAAGGAAGGATTGGGTGATTTGATTCCTTGGATAAGGAGCACCCCTTAACCTTTTCAGGGTCCAGAGGCCAAATTTCAGTGTGCACCATGGTCCAAGAATTTTCAAAAAAAAAAAATTTTTTTTTTTTCTTATGAAATGGTAGAGAATCTTTTTCTGAAGGTAATAAAACAAAAAGTACGAAATTTGATGGAAAATTGACGAAATTATGCTCTCGTGAATTTTGTGTCAGCGATGTTTACACATGGGCGATTTTGCCGACTTTGACTCCCATTTTAGGCCAATTACATTATTCCAGTCAACCAAATTCTTAGTTATTTCACTAGTATTGCTTCTATTCTATCGATTGAACACAAGAAATCACCAAGTCAACCGTTTCAACTACAAAATAAAGTGATTAGAAATTGGTAATTTGGCCAGTTTAATGCAAAGTTCAAAATATTCCAATTTCAAAATAGGGTTCAGAATAAACAATGCAGGCATTCCTGGCACTAAACTAACATTTCCTCTGTTCATTAGTTACATTTTCAGGCTTTACAAATTAATTCCATTTTGATTTTTTATTCACATAATTTTTATTCAAACCAAACAATAGAAAGATTTACTGTTAAACAATATTGTAAGATATTGGTTTTTGTTGGGTCCCTGGTCATGTCGACGTACAGAGCAATGAACAGGCAGACACTGCTGCGCAGTCAGCAGTACATGACCTACCAATTTCCTATAGAGGTGTTCCATTTCTGGACTATTTTGCTGCAATAGCTTCCCACCTTCATACCCGTTGGCAACAATGTTGGTCAACTCTGCTTGGTAACAAACTTCATTCTATTAAACCGAGCATAGGTTACTGGCCGTCTTCTTGTCATCAGTGCTGAGGTTGGGAGACCACTCTCTCCCACCTTCGCATTGGCCACACTCGTCTTACTCATGGGTATCTCATGGAGAGGCACCCTGTTCCTCTCTGTGAGCAGTGTCAAGTTCCAGTATCGATTAGCCACATTCTGTTAGATTGCCATCTCTATCAACGAGCACGCAGAATTTACCTCCAACGTCGTCTTCGTTCTACTACTCTCTCTTTACCTTCCCTTCTTGCTGATGGACCCTCCTTTAATCCTGACTCTCTCATTGACTTCTTGACAACAACTGATTTACTCCACAAACTCTGATGATACCTTTTGCACTCCCCTCAGCCCTTTCTAGCTCAATCTCTTGCTGCCCTTTACCCTTTTACCATCCACTGCCCCACTGTTCTCCGTAACCTATTACTCATCCATCTCCCTTTTGCCACCTGATGCCCTCGCTTCCTTCCTGCCCTGCAGCGCTGCATAGCCCTTGTGGCTTAGCGCTTCTTTTTTATTATAATAATAATAATATGCAATATTGTAATAATTGTATAAATAATATCACCAAATTTATGAATGCATATTAGACCCACCAGCTGGCGCGTATTAGATGTGTGAGGTCATATGTTTACTCTTGAACATCGGCAACAATTTAACATTTCCACTACTTTGAGCTCGGTTTCAGGCCATTTCCATTACTAAAACCAATCAAACTCATCTCTATTTCTGTAATATATCTTCTGTTCTATCAAATGAGACCAAGAAATCACAAATACATCTATAAAAAACATACAAAAAACACTGCAAAGTTGCTGTTTTAATCGAAAATTACGGTCTGTTTTTTCTCTCGTGCACTGTGTGCTGCAGGATTTGTTTTATGTGGTGCACACATACCACACAGATGTATTCTCTCATATCTAGGCCCAAATTTACCTCTCACAGCTTATCAGAGTGAGCTGAGCTCTAATTTCAGGGCTTATTATTATTATTTTTTATTTTTTTTTTTTTTGACATCTCAAGCATGCACATTGTACTTTTCAGATATATGGAAGAAGACAGAGATTTGGAATCAGTTATGCTACGCAAAGGGCTTCAACTTTCACCACTCAGAAGAGAGACTGGTGTTTAAGTAGTGTATTTAAATATCGCTTGTAAACAACCAGTTTTATTACGATCTATGTGATGTGATGCGATGGCATTGTTGATGGGTAATGTTTCTCCAACAGTGGAAGATAACCCTGGTGTATATCATATGTAACTCAATTACTTTAAACTCATGTCCTCGATTCTTTCACTTTTGTGCATTATCAGTTATAGTTATGTTCTTGAACATTATGTGCAGCTCCTTGAAATTTTTGGCAACTTTTAAATATACAGATGATTTTTTTTACTTTGATTGCTATAGAGCTTTATTTTATTCTGTACTATGAATATATTACCTGGTATAGTGATCAGTTTTACAAAGGCATTAAAAAATGCAGTAGTTTCTATATTTTGCCATCCTTAGATTAATGTAGAAACTGATGCATGATGCGTTTCTAACAATATCAGGGTATAAATTGATGCAAAAGTTTTGAAGCTTTGCAAGTAATGTGACAATAAAATTTTTCTAAATACTTACTGTTATTGTCCCTAGATGCAGTACATGATCCCTACTTGTTTTTGTAGTATTTATGAGAAACTAAAGCACTTTAGCTTGGTATTCCTCTTAAGTGCAGTGCATTTGTAGATTGATTAGTCCATTTTATAAGCTGATGATTGCAAGAGTCAACTGAATATCAGACATTTGACTATCCTGAGCTATTACTTATTATAGGGCAACATTTATTTTAAGCATGCTAATGCTTAAGATTGTTAAACATATACATTTCAAAGGTAACTTATGTAACAAGGAGGAATGTAAGGTCAGAAGAATTTATAGTTGTTTATATTAACTTGATTTATCAGTATTAGCAAATTCTAAAATATAATGTGCCTTTATCACTAGGTCTTGAGCAGCTGTTAATATAGATTAAAACTGAAATTGCTAATGGCTTATTGTTTTAATGGCATGCATACAATGCCAGTGAGAGCTCATTTGGCACCCACCCAGGTTCACCAGATGGTTTTGCTGGCTCTACATGTATATCATAATGAAGATGAACCACTAGTTTATTTGGTCTCCACATTTGGCACAAGATTGCATTCTGTGTTCATGCTTTCTTTAATCAGCTTTTAAGGGCTATGAATGATTACTGTATACTATATAATCTTCTTACTTTTATATGTCTCTATAAGCCAATAATACTGCTGACTTAATTTATGAATCAGTGCTTATGTAACACTATTTATACTATAAAGTATGCTCTCAGAATTAAATATACATTAATGTATTTTTTCCATGATAATCATTTTTAGGAGAGCAATAAGAGAGCTGTATACTTTTGTTGTGATGAATACTAAACAATTTTGTACCATGATTTTTAACTTTAACCTGTGCATTTGTATATATTATCATCTCTTGGTAAAAGAAAAATAAATAAATTATATATATATATATATATATATATATATATATATATATATATATATATATATATATATATATATATATATAATTTTATTTATTTTTCATGAAACTCTCATATATTTTAAGGACAGTATAGCATATTAGTAGATACTGAGAAAATGGGCAGTTTCTCTTTAGGAGGGGACATGCGTATCTTAGCAATTCAGATGCCGACCTGTTCTGTGAAATTTGCAAGGGATAGGTAATAAGGTAAGCAACCAACATGAGGCATTGTTGATAGTAAGGGCAAACTCAATATCTTAACTTTGGTTAAAAAAGAAAGCCTTAAAATGTTATTTATGCATATAAAAACAAGCCTTATTTTTTTTTTTAAGCTATTATTTTAACTCCTTTTTGAACAGTTTAGAAGAATTAGCACTTACTATTGGGAACATCTCTTATATCTGTCATAGTGAGTTTTAACAAAGTCCAATCAGAGTGATACCCATGTTAGTGTGTGTGTGTGTGTGTGTGTTTGTATATGAGTGAGGGGAAAATAAGTCTGTCATTGTTTGTGTTATGCATTAGAGGTGCAAGGGCAGATATTCATTTTCCTGATTAAAAAATATTTTTGTCTATTTAGTATTGAGGTCTCTGTTTATCAAAATCACAAATGATGTAAATGAATTCCTGTCTAATTTATACGACTTTTTATAGATGCATTGTTTCAAGAGTACATTGAAGCTAATAATGGCTCTTGTCTCATACTGTATCATTATTTACCATGGTGCTCTTAGTAAATGAAATTTTAAATTACCCCTCGTTTTATTTTTGTAATTTACTAGTTGTTCTTGATAATTGAATTTTTTAATGATGTAATACTGGGCCTTTGTCAGACTGACCGGTTGAGTCATTAAGCAACCACTGGCTTACCAGTGTTAAGCTAGTGAGGTCATGCAGCATCTGGGGAATAGGAGGCAATCAGAAATTAAAATTGTCCTCTAAGAAAGAGGACAATTTTAATTCTTCTGTAGTATACCTGAAGGGAGTTCTGGGGTCAATGCCCCCACAGCCCAGTTCATGACCGGGTCTTGCAGTGCATCAGTGCCTGATTAACCAGGCTATTACTGCTGGCCACACACAGACCAATGTACGAACCACAGCCCAGCTACTCAGGCACTGACTTAAGGGAGCATTTGGGCAATTTTCCGCGCGCGCTCAACCAAAAATCGAAAAATTATGGAAATTGAGTTATATATACCAAAAAATAGCTTAACTCTTTGGCAACACAATGGTACAAGAATCAATGTTCTAAGACGTTTCTACAAGAAATTATAGTCATTTATATCAGGTATGGTAACGACGATGTAGGTAGCGCGTCTGTTCTCAACCCAAGTATTTTTTGGAATTTTTTCCTTGTTTTTTATTTCTTTTTCTTTGCATTATTCTTTCTAATATAATAATTGATTATTTGGCATCATATAAGAGTAGGTGGAGCTTATCAGTAGAGTGCCAGCCAATAGGGAGCCATCTGAGAACACTCGGCAGTACTCCCCCTCCAGATGGTGCCAGGTGAAATCACTTCATTATTACGTTTATATCAGCTTATATATCAACTATACGGCTTATTTATCTATCAGAATTGATCTAATATGATATAATAAACACTATAAATAACAAACAAACATGTTATATACTCTAGACTGAATAAAATAGGCCATAATATAGCGAGAGTCCACCAGCAATATTTCGATATAAATGTGTTACTCCTGGTCTCCTTGTTCTATTGTTTGGTCTGTGAGTGATAGAAAACGGTGTTTTGAAGAGGATAACTGCACTAGAACATCAGTTTACTAAGAAATACACCAAAAAAAAAACCGATTTCCGCGCAAAAAAAAATTTTTTTTGAGACGGTAGGCCTGCCGACGTTTTCTAGGCCTATATCTCGGAAGTAACTTTTTCACTTATTTCGCTAAAGTACACCATTATTAATGATTGTATTGAAATGATTTTCACTGACAATATAAAACAAGGTGTGTTTGAAAATCTGATGCTTCTTTTTTTGGAATATATCAAATATTTTTGATTTTGTGGGAGGTAAAAGGCAGATATTTTGGTGAATGCAAAAAAGTCTATCAAATGTATTTTTTTTTTTCCATGATAATAAGATATATTAGATGAAACATGTGCATCCCGAATTAGTGTCAGATGTATTCTAACGGTTGGGATTGTCGGAAGTGCCATTTTGTCATACCTTGCTGCCATATATGAAGTCACTGAAATATTTTTTTTCTCTGTTGTTTGTTGACCAATCATACTGAAACTTTGTCACATTCTTCTACATATGAACCTCTAAATGTACACCAAAAATAAAAAAAATTGGTTGAAAAATAAAAGAGTTGGCCAAATTCAGGGACGTGCCCCTTAAGGTGCCTGACCAGCTCCCTCTTGAAGACACCTAGGGGTTTATTGGTAATCCCACTTATGTATACTGGGAGGCAGTCGAAGTGTCTTGGGCCCCTGACACTTACTTGTTATCTCTTAAGGGTACTCATGGCATCCCTGCTCTTCATTGGGGAGGATGTTGCACTGCTTGCCGAGTCTTCTGCTTTCATATTATTATTATTATTATAATCAAAAAGAAGCGCTAAGCCACAAGGGCTTCTGCTTTCATAGGGAGTGATTTACATGTGCAAATTTGGGACTATTCTTTCTAGGATTTTCCAGGTGTAATTATGTATCTTTCTCGCCTGCATTCCAAGGAGTTCTTTCAATGAAGCAGGAAGAGACTGGCTATTTAGTACAGTATTTTATTTGCATAAGAAAGCGGACTAGAAACAAAAAAGAGTACCAGATGCACTCGCCTAAATCCTACTACATGTACCTGGACTTGCTAATATTTGAGTAATGATTTTTCATCAATTCCTTACTTAAACATTCTACCAATGCACCTTTAGAGCAAAGGCAACTAGTGAAAAAAAATTGTAGAAGACACAGCAAAAGCTATGCTTGACAGAAAACAGATAAACCTTTTTATGTTCACATTATTATAATCATAACTAAGCGTTAAAACCCACTAGGGTCATTTCTATGTTCACAAAAAGTACTTAACGCTGATATTAAAACAGTAACATTTGTAAATCGTCATACAAAAACAAAACTTCCCTCAAAAGAAGTGCTTTTGATGTCAATGAGGCACTCTTAATCTAAGGAACTGGAATTATCCTCCCCTTCCTTGGACCAAACCTGAATGTGTCTCATTTCTCAAGCACTACGTGACCTCTATGCATTTACTAATCCTATGGGTTTAGTGCTCCCCCTTGATTATAATAATAATAATATGCATTTACTGCTTTCCCTTGATTTAATAAAATTCATACAAAACTTAGAGTTAATTTTTGGAGACTAAGCTTTTGTTCTGCAAGATTTGTCAAGCATAACTTACACAAGTTTTGTTACAGCAAGTTCCAAGTACAATAGTATTAAACCTTTGGTGTAATACATGTTGCCATGGGGAAAAAAAAAATAATCTTGGACCCAGGAACTGCAACTGCACCACATTCTGAAAATAAAATAATAATACAATTATGAACACGAATGATAAAAGCTAGTGACCTACTTCATAATAAGTTTGATTTCACTAGTCTAAAAATCTTGAAGAATTTTGTGCTTCAGAGAAAAAAATGAATTTCACTATGGTTTTTGGGAGTGAATAAGATGTGAAGGGAAAGACATTAATTACAGTAGGGCCACACTTATACGGCAGGTTAGGTTCCAGGCTACCGCCGGAAAGCAGAACGCCATTTTTTCTACTTCTAAATGCATGTAAATGCCAGGTAACAAGTTTACACTAACATATATTAAGTTAGCAATAGAACTAGGCATTAAAAACAAAAAGTAATATATACACACAGTACACTCATTACTTACCTTAAAATATTTGTAGCCTTAATGTAGGGTGAGTAGTATTTATTGTAAGAAGTCAGGTGTGGAAGGTATGGTAGCCAGCCAGGCCATCCTACCCACACGTAATATACTACGACATTCGAAGTGCCCTAGAGTGATAAAATGCATATACAGTAAATTCATTACTTACCTTAATAGTATATTTGTGGTCTTAATGTAGGGTGAAAGGTAAGTAAACGAGGTAAAACAAATAAACGAGAGAGAGAGGAGAGACACACAGTTATGTAAACAAGCAGACGAACGTGTCTGGTTCTGGTTCATACACATAACATCTCATATTTACGTTAATTTATTCTACTGTGAGTTGTATTTATCATGTTTATATCTTACGTTGTGTGTTTATTATATAATTTTGATTAATGAAAATGTTTATATAAATGTAATACAGTGGACCCCCGCTTAACGATCACCTCCCAATGCAACCAATTATGTAAGTGTATTTATGTAAATGCATTTGTACGTGTATGTTTGGGGGTCTGAAATGGACTAATCTACTTCACATTATTCCTTATAGGAACAAATTCGGTTAGTACTGGCACCTGAACATACTTCTGGAATGAAAAAATATCATTAACCGGGGGTCCACTGTATAGGACATTTAACGCACTTCAGAATGATTATTATTGCATATTATTATTATTAATATGGCATCCTCAAGACTAATAAGACACTCTTAGTGATTTTAATGTGTACCTGCATGCCAGCACAGTTTAAGTACAGGTACACAAGTATAATTATCAGAGTACATGTATATATAAAACATGAAATAACTTTAAAACACTTGAAATTTTGGAAAGTTTCTAGACATAATGGAGAGACGTGACTGTATTAGAGTGTCAGGCGGGGGGAGCCGTATAGCTTGTTTTGGTCATAATTTGAAATGTCCATATTAGTGGAATGCCATAAAGTGGAGCCCTACTGTATTAGAAACTATCACATTTGCTAGTATCTTTAAGAACCCATCTCTACACAAGAGTACTGGAAAGTTTCTATATACAAATGTAAGCTTTGATGATGGACAGCATTTAGCTTTGAAATCTCAGGCAAATGCTGTCCACCAGGTGTATCCCTTTGGAAACAGAGGGATACACCTGGTCCCCACAAGACCAATACTGGATGAAGGCAAAAATGGGTTTGCATAAGTATCCCAGGCTAGACAAATCCTGTACAAATTCCAGCTACCAAGACAGCCTGGAGAAAGGTAATATGATTTTTCCACAGAGAAGGCACACAAATTTCAGTTTGACAGGCTATGTCTGGAAATGCACAGAAGTGCAAAAGTAAATTTAGAGTGACAGCCAATGACATATGATATAGAGAACCTGGTAAGTTGTGTGTCATGACTCAGTCTAAAGCACTGTCAAAAGATCCAAGCAAAAAAAGGTGGTCACAGGCTGACTGTCTATATTGACATGGAATGTAAAAATACAAGAAATTCGTTAAGGAAGATTTCCTAACACAGATAACATAAAATCATTACTATAAACTAGGAATAAAGAGGTGAAAATTACTCTTTTAAAGTGTTTCACAAACTGAAGGACAGAACAATGGAATGGGTTACAAAGGACAAGAGATTTACATTACCTGGGGGATATTTTAAATAACTTTATAAGCTTAACCTAACTTGTTAAAAGTTATGCAAATAAATTAATGGCAGCAATCATATCAACAAAAGATGCAATATAAAAACATAAAACACAATGAAATGCATGACTGAAAATAAAAAAAATAGAGTGAAAAATAAACAAATACTGAACACTTTCATGTGCTCAGACATGCATCTTCATAGGATTTTTCTAACTCCTCTAAAGATGTATTAGGGCACTCATTTATTTCTCTATTTTTTCTAG